ACCTTTGCATCTGACTTCTCCCACTTTGGTGAATGTTACAAGAACTGGCACAACACAGCCTATTCCATTCATGACTACTCCCTCTTTGGCTTCCCGGCGTCTCCAGAGAAGTATGAGAGCTCTGCGGTACAGCTGACGAGGTTGAGGCGCAGCTACGAGAAGAAGAGGGAGTGGATGGACGCGCACGGTCTAGCCGTGTGGAACGGCGAGTTTGGTCCTGTTTACGCACGGAAGGAGTACGAGGGTGAGGCGACGGATGCTATCAACGCTGAGCGTGTCAAGGTCCTCAAGGACCAGCTTGACATTTACAACAAGGTATATCTGGCGTCTGAGATTCTCAGCTTCCCCGCTGACATCTTTGCAGGACCGTCTCAGCTGGTCCATTTGGCTGTACAAGGACATTGGCTTCCAGGGCATGGTCCACGTCTCACGGGAGACTCCGTACATGACCCTTTTCAAAGACTTCCTCGCAAAAAAGCATCGCCTTGCTACGGACGCATGGGGAGCTGACGAAACCCACGTCCGACACGTCTACCAGCCCTTAATCGACCTCATTCGCCAGGAGGTCAAGCCCGAGCATCAGAACTTGTACCCGGGTCCCGTGTGGAAGCTGAACGACCGTGTTGGCCGTCTCGCGCGTAACATCCTCGTCTCCGAGTTCTTGGTCCAGGAGTGGGCAGAGCACTTCCGTGGCAAGAGCGAGGCGGAGATCGACGAGATTGCGAGGAGCTTTGCCTTTGAGAATTGCTTGCACCGCGATGGTCTGAACAAGATCCTTACAGACAACGCGAGCTTGGTTGCTCAGTCTGCTTAGGTTATGAAGAACTTGAACATCCAAATGCCAATCTGTACCAGTAATGCCGCCTCTCATGGATGATGTCAAATGTATAGCTTCGCATGCAGCATCGTTTCCATAAAGCTCGTTCACGCCGTGTGACATAAAAGTACACTTCAGTTGAACATTCAGCACAGCTGCAGCAACCGTCTTTGAGAAGCGTAGCTCAAAGCTCTCCTGAGCATACTCCTTCGACCCAGTCCACGTCGCTGCGAACAGTGGTCAAGTTCAAATGTCCATCCTTCGTGATAAGAACCACGTCCTCAATCCTCACACCTCCCACGCTCTCGTACTTCTTCAGCACGTCGTGGTTAATATGCTTCGAGTCTCGTACCGGTGCGAGCAAGTGGGGTGAGAAGTAGATCCCAGGTTCAACCGTCTTCAATGGACACTCTGCTTTAGCCTACGCGTTCATGCTCAAATGAATTCACAATCACTTACCACGACCATACCTTCTTCCAACGGCAACCTGAGACGCAGGTAGGTGTAAAAGTCCGGGTGGCCGAGTTCTAAACCTTTGATCGTAGGGTTGTGCGCGGGCTTGCTTGCACTGGGCACATCGTGCACGTCCAGACCCAGCGAATGGCCGACTCCATGGGGGAAGAATGCTGCACTGACGCCAGAGGCGATAATAGCCTCTTCAGAGTTCCACGACCCAGATCCAGGGGCGTCAGGGCTTTTCAAGATACCGAGACGTTGTAATCCCTTCACAAGTGTCCTGTGGCATATAAGTTGGATGGCGTCCCAATGGATACCAGGTTTCAGGGCTTCCATAGCTAGCTGGAGATGAGAACGTAAAAGTCAGCGGGGTACTACGGAGATTTGGTCCTAACTCGCCTTCTGCATGTCAAGCACCAGAGAGTAGATCTCCCTGGCTTCCGGTGTGAACTTGCCACCATTGCCTACTGGCATAGTTCGGGTGACTGTGGTCATCGTGAGCAGATGGAACAGGTAGCAACCAGTGATTACTCACTATCCGCGGCGTAATAATTCCACTCGCACCCGGCATCGATGAGCAGCACCTGAGGAAGAAAAGTCTTGTCCTCGTTGGCATGGTGAATATGTCCGTCGTTCTTGTGGTCGTGTGGTTTGACAGGGCCCCAGGCAAACTCTTTGTCGTTACAGCAGTAGTGCAGCGTAGATGCACGATTGGATGCAGCTACAATAGGGAGATACGCTTGGTGGACCGCCCTGAGAACATGTCACACGAACGAAAATGTGCGGTCAGTCTCCTTGTCAGATTTGACAAATATGCCTAGACATACCCTTCACGCCGACAGGAGGCCACAAAAAGTGCCTCTGCCTCTGCTTCCTTCTCGATCAGCCACTCACCGGGCAGAAGAGGTCGTGTCACCCCTGCGCCTTGACCTTGCTTGATAAGTCCTTTGACACCTTGGCCAAGTACGCGCATTACCGTCTCGTGGGCACGCGAGCTAATCTCGTTGGCACGCTTGATTTCTGCAACTTCGGCGACATCTTTTGTCAATCGCGCTTGATGAAGCGCAGGTAACAGGTACTTGTCAGAGATAGGAGCATTGCGTACAAGACCGAGATAATCCTCGGAAAGCGCAGGGAACAGCGGCGAGCCGCGCGGCAGAATATGGAAGGTTGCATCAGGGTATGCCTTGATGATGTCGTTGATTGCATCGGAGAGTACAGACGGATGCGCAATGTGTGTTGCCTCGTGTGTCTTGACAGCCTCATCTACAGTCGGCGGCGGCACAGACCACATAATGTCGGCGGGTTCAATCCCTGGGATGAACAGCTGGATGCTCGGATTGTTGGCGAACGACGTCCCACTTTTGTACGTCACGAGCAAATAACTAGATGGAATGCTGCATCCAGACAGGTAGAAGAAGTTGGATTCCTGCAGCAGTAGGGCAGTGTAAGTCTTGCACAACTCCCATGATTCAGTGACCGCGGCTGCAGTACCTGCCGGAAAGACATCTCGCGATCAGTGTCATTCCTGTAAGGAGTCACTCCTCCCGCCAACAGTGCGACTTGCGGCTGATTGTACTGCATTCAGTACTTTTTACAAGTGCCGAGTATCAGTGAATTGCGCACTTTGGTTTGCTCAGCGGGCGGAAGAAGCTTGACGAGTTGTGCGAATGTCTTAACGACATGGTCTTTTGCTGGTGAATAATGAGCAACACTATACAGCGCAACACACAGACAGTACATACAAGGATACATGTCGATATTTGGTGCGATTTGAACGTTGCACGTTCAGACGTTCAATTGCTGAACCTCCGAAATGGCTCAGATCAGTGTGAGTAGTGCTTAGCAAATACCATCAAATATTCCAACTAGGATGTATTTAATGATTACTATTGAATACCAATATCACATGTTGGATATTGAATAATAATGTAATTAATAGTACTGGTATTGGTTAGTATTGGTATTTATTGGTATGTAATGGTAAATAATGATATAGTCAGTGTTTGGGTGATTAATCAAGTTCAAGTCCTTGCTGTCAAAGCAAGATTGTATTGCTGATCATCAGAGATCAGACCTATGGACGATTTAGATTAGATATATAGATAGATAAGATCAGATAGTACATAGCAGGCCCTGTTTACCACTCTCCTTGCTTACCGACTTGTTACTATTGCCGCTCATTTCCATCGTCTGTTTCCCCCATCTACCACAACTTTAATGCTGCTTTGATAACATTATATTACATTTGCACTTCACCTATTAATAGCTTCTCGTTCGTTTTGAGTTTAATAGTACTTCTCGAGCCACGGACGCATAGTACGTACTGATACACCTCTCTGAAATGCAACCTTTACTTGCCGTTTGGGTATTGTACCGTCTGAACCTCAATGCGTGTCGTCGACGCGCGACATGGAAAATTGCGCGTCGATGCTGGACTTGACGCGGAGTGCAAAACCGGGAGCGCGACGGCGCAACTATTAAATGTACAGTTTGGACGGCATAGATGGCCACGACACATTGTACAATTATGTTTCTTTCTATGATACAGCTTGCTTGATAACTATGTGATATGTGTGCGAACTCCCATGAATGAGATGCTCTACTGCCGTCGACAACTCTCCGGACTAGCACACTGAACCTCTGATCCCCCTCGCCGACTACCACGTCCGTCGCTTCAGAGTGATCTCGCAATAAACACGTATCGCATCAGGCAGCGCCTGAGGACTTCCTCCTGTTGAATGGCAGCTGCCATGAGCTCCATACCTCCCGTTGAAAGAGAATATTGGACAAATACTCACAATTGCCACCATCCCGCAATGAACGGGATTGAGAATCCGACGCCGAGGAAGGTCCAGTACTTTGCTGTGAAAGCCCTCTTGTTCGTCACACCGAAAGGGAGATGCTGGCCACGTAGGTGAATAACAATTTTGGCTAAGCTGGATACACTGATGGATGCTTACCTCCGGATGAGCCCAGTTGATATTGCTATGAACCTGACGTGAAGCTCGCGGCATGCGGAACCCAGCCCGGACAATACGAGTGGCAGAGATAGCAGACATGGCTGATGTCTGTGACAAATGCAGAAAAGGATCTGAGTGGGGGCGTTCAAAGCGATTGGAGGAGTAGTGGTTGCTTGAAGAGCGGTGGTGCGATGGAATTCAAGCTCACTGCGAGTTTAAGTATCGTAACCAGCCGGGGGTCACTAGGATAAGACACCTCGTTCATACCCTATTCACGATCACCATGAATACGGCTGGGCCACGACTGGAACGCCATGTGGACACAGCTAGGCGTGTCCCGACGCTCCAGATGACCTGAAATCAGGTATCAGCAGTGCAAATAGGGTGCTATGTAGTGGTCTGACCGCAGTTCCGCTCAGATCTTGTATTACAAGGAGATTGTTGGGTGGCCGCTGCATGCTTATTTTGCATACGGGACAGTGTCCTTTCTCGATCTTCGCCGGTCTGGTCAGAGTCTGGAGCGGACACGGCCGTTCTTGCCGTCACTTCAGAGCCCAGAAACACAAATGGCCTGCATAATATAATAAGATAGAAACCCGTCGTCAAAAGCTAGAGCTGCGGGTGTTCTCGTACATTGCGAGGGTGACACACGGACGTAAGTGACATGTAGTACAGGCAAGAAACGGCGAGCGCCGGGTGCTGTGGGTCGCTAGTGATGACGCCCAAAGTTTGATGATATCGTACGGAGAAGTGGTGAAAATAAAGCCGCGTTGGCGTAGTGGTAGCGCGTCGCACTTGTAATGCGAAGGTCACTCGTTCAACCCGGGTACGTGGCATGGTGTTTTTGCCAGTTTTTATCGTCTGCCTCGAGACGCATGAGTGTCTCAAAACCTCACACTGTAGCACGTTCCCAAGAAAAGATGTATTGATTATTCCCAAAAGAGTGGTCTACGAGCTAAAAAAAAAAGACCGTAATGACACAGTCCGGCTGGTCGTACTAATATGCATCTGCGGGACTATTTCCAGCGAGGTGATGAAGGAGGAGGTAGGCTCGGTACAGGTGGGACCGAGCCTCTTGCTATACCTTCCTTGCTATACATCTGCTCGACTCGCTTCAAGAACTTCTGTCTTGCATTACTACTTCGCTCCTTGTCCAAGATACTGATTCGGCTCGGCTCGGCACTGTCACTGAAAACGCTGTAGCGATTGTCGAAATCTTCCTCATCGTCGGGGTACCTCGAACGGTCGTCCTCGTCGGGACCTTCAGCGGATCGAGTGTTGTATACCTCCGACCTGTTGTCCTCGGGATTGCTCTGGAGAATAGAGAGAACCGAATCGATGTCCGGGCGCGAGGAGGTTGAGGTACGGATGCTGACCGAGTCCCTACAATCCTCAAAATCAATCCAGGACTGGCGCTTCTCTGTCAAACGGTCCTGTCTATGTTCTAGAGCAGATGCCGACCGAGGTTGCCATGCAACATTTAGCTTCGCGTGCTGCTCGCGTTGAAACTGAGCATCATCGTTGGTAGCTCCTGCAGACAATGGTTGTGGCATATTCTCGGCTGCACGCAAGGACCGGCTAGACGTGTCGAGTTGAGGAGTGCTGCGGGCAACAAGCGGGTGCGCCGGAAACGGAGGCTCTTTGCCCCGCTGGCTTGAAGGAATCCTTTGTGAAAACAGAGGCGGGCCGCCTTCAGAGCCCAGGGGACTAGCAGGCGAGACCGATGTAGTTGTTGCTATCGTGAGTATAGGTGTTAACCTCTGTGATAGAGAGCCACTTGCAGAGCGAGATGATGAAGTCGGAGGAGGGGGTAACGGGCCTGTCGGTGGCGATCGGATTTGTGGACTAACCGGTCGGAGCATCCGTGATGTTGTCTGACGCAGCGAGCCACTGGTATCGCTATCTGCTGTGCTAGGCCTGCGTGACCTTTCATTACCGAGTCTTCCATATGAGCCGGAGGATCCAGCTTCTGTGGGAGGCTGTGGAAGAGGTCCAACTGGTGGTGGACTGAGTGGGGGGATATCGTATTTTGACAATCCGTTGGGCCTAAACTGCGCGGGCGAGATCGAAGAAACACTCGCGCCTGACGACGGTGCAGGGGACGTGTAGGCAGAATCTGACGGGGTGGAGGCCGACGGGCTGTTGGGAGTTGAATCTACAAGGTATCTCGTAAATTGACAGAGGAGATAAAACGTGCTGGATATACTTACCAAAATTGCTACTGGCTGGTGTGGTGGGTAGAGTATTGGTAGACAATGCGGGACTTGGAATGGTGTCTGTCCTTTGAGCCCTTGAGCCCAGCCGCCAGCGTGCTCCTGGTGTTGGTGTTGGTGGAGTCAAAGTCACTGGTATCAATGTGTCCGATCCAGAAGCGAATGTGTGCTGCGCTCTAACGGAAAGACTCTGGGTATTGGGGGCAGATATTTGAGGGGGTACCCTTTTCTGCGAGATATTCCTCTTCGGAGGTGGCATTCCCATCTTAGGCACAGTATACGATGAAGGCAGGCCAGAGTCCTCTTGGACGACAGCAGGTACGTCCGGAGTCGAGTTCGCGGATTTTAACGGAGATCGAGGAGCACTTGCCAAGGCATGTCTTCCGAATGCACGGAGAACATCTGTGCTCGGTGTGCGCACAGACTGGGCGTCGTTGAACGCTGATGTCAAACCGACCATACTCAGATTGGGAGACGGCAGTGGTTTTGTTGTGGAGACAGGAGTTGGTCCGCGAGATGGGATGTCTGCCATGGAAGGCCCGTCGTCGCTCGACCGTTGACAGGATGCGCGTTCACCGAGGCTGTATCCAGGAGTCTCCGTTCTACTGTAGTACGTGCTCGGAGTTTCGACTCTATTGCTGTGTGTCGTAATAGTGTCCGCTCGGCTGGGACTTCTGTCTGATAGCATCGTTGTTGCGAATCTCTCCGCTACAGGAAGTGACATCGGTGGGAGGGACGGTACGGGGGGTATAATATCTTCCAGGGAGACATCGGAGGAGTCCTGCCTTTTGCGAGACTTGTTATTCATTCTGAACATGAATCGCTTCCGTTTAGATGATTCGGAAAGATAGCCACCATCAGATTCATCACCCTGCGGTGTCGGCGGTTTCTTTGACTTTTTCTCCTTCTTGCTATGAGAAGAGAGGTAGCCGCCGTCTGACTCCTCGTCTGTGCCACCCAGGGCCGCCTCTCTCTCCTTCTTTTCTTTCTTCTTCCGCCTTCGCCTCGCCAATACCTCCGACAGGTAACCTCCTTCGCTCTCCTCTCCTGTCGCGACTCCGTCGGCCTTGCTCTTCGTGCCCTTCTTCTTTTTCTTCTCCGTTGTCACTGTGACCACATCGCTCACATAACCTCCGTCGCTCTCATACCCGTTACCATCTGGCTTGGCCTTCCGAAGTTTACGATGCTTTGCAGTGACGACTTGCACTTCTGAGGGGGCATCCCTGGTCACCGGTGCATCGGATTGAAATTGGACTGAGTGTTGCTGAGGCGACAGGACATCACCGAGCGAGCTCGGTTCTAAGTAAGATATACCGGTACTGTTAGAGGCGTCTGAAGCTATTCGGTTCAAAGAAGATGAATGGGAGGGCCAGGACTCGTCGGAAGTCGCGGTCGACGCGTAAGTGAGACTAGGTGAGAGAATGCTCTAGGGCAGCGGGCGTTAACATAAACAAGAACTCGGGAGTAACAAATACACACCTCCGCCTCCTCATCCTCCTCTCCTATCGGATTGAACATCCAGTGGGTGACTGTCTTGCTAGTACCAACACCAAGCTCCATAGCTGTGTCCAGAATCGACGCGCGAAGGAAGGAGTCACGCTTCTCGAGCTGGCGGGGTCGCGGAGTGGGAGCTGAAGAGGGGTTCATGGTGGTTGCAGAAGAAGGGTTGGAAGAGAACAAGGAGTGACTGAGAGAGGACCTTAGGTAAAGAAGCCGAGAGGATAACACAGGTCAAGGCAGAACTTCCCACATATGCTGGGATGATGATGATGGTGATTGGTGAGTATTATGAAGCGCTGCCAGTCCCGTGGCCGCGAACAAAGAGCGGCCGTCCAACGAAGGGCTCGTTGCGAACAGTGAAGAGGGTCGTAGTAAAGAACGGAATGTTGATTTCGCGTGTAAAGTCCGCGAACAGCTCTCCGGCGAATCCGTCTGTGCTAAACTGTTGCATGGTTGAGGAAGAATGGTTTGGTATATGCACAAGTTGGTCATACCTTGCAAATTGGAGACCAGCACTAGTGGTGGCCGGAGACAGGATACCTAAGAGGCGCCCATGCGACGCAGTGGGCAGTCCGACTCAGCGCTCAGTAACCTCGTCGTTGCAAAGACCTCTTATTGCTAGCTACCATATATATATATATATATACCGGGTTTTGCCACAGGCTATTTCTTCCTCTGCCTATACTTGACCGCGCCTTGTCTCTTTGTGACCAGCCACATTACCGATGAGCAACCTCCATCGCATGGCATTTTGTGTCACTAATGCCGGTGGTGAGCATTTCATTCATTTTCCTCTGCTGTGCAGATTTCTGGCGTCAACAATACTCTTATCGACATGATTGTTCGTTGACCCGTCGCGGTTTCATCGCCACGAAGTGCCACGAGCATCAACACCTCGCTTCGGCGCTCATGGCAGTCAGCGCATTCACAACTGTGCACTGCTCCCGTTGTGAACAAGCTCAAGAGGGAAGAGATAACAAGGTTGAAGAGGGAGATGCTGGCAGAGTGGGATTTGACAACTTGAAAGGAGAGGATTGGGATTGACTTGGAGGATAGGCATCTGAGCTTTGAGTATCATTAGTGGTATGTACAGTAGCGGCAAAAAGTCTTGCGACATCGCAAGCGCACAACTCTTTGCTCTCCGTTTGAGCTCAACACTGCTTATTTTATTCAATCATTTTATACACATTGATTATTGCATGTATAGAATATGTCTACAGTGAAATTAAAAGAGTCTGTTTCGTATACAGCCGTTTGCATTATTTCGTGAAACAAGCGCATTTTTTTCGTTGTGTTTGGCCATGTTTGGCAGACCGAAAATGTGATGTGTGACAGTACGCGGGTGTTGCCGACTCAGACATGGTTCCTCTCGTTGCATGGCATCGACTCTTTACGATGTGAAAAGCACGTGCTGTGGTATGCTACAGTAATTTTCAAATTTTTCTCAAGCTGTGAATGGACCTCGATTAACGAGGCACTCACAATCGTGTCTTGCAAGTTAGTCACACTGTCACGGTTCTGGCAGTGCAAACAAGGCCAAACACAACGAAAAAAATGCGCTTGTTTCACGAAATAATGCAAACGGCTGTATAACACATTGTGCACAATCTGCGCTGTCGCGACGCTAGGCGCCCGTCGCGCACACACCCACTATTTGGGTTTGTTTTGTTTTTCGATCTCTCCACTTCACCACTATCGTGCTTTTTTCGATACCACCCACTCTATTATTAGAAAGGTATGAGCAGTAGTGCACAACACTGAGCCTTAGGTGAAGGTGGTGGTCAGACGAAGAGATGGGGATCAAAAGTGGTAGTCATGCATTGATCAGAGTAAGTGTTATATACGGTAATTAAGCGCGCAATCAGTGCGGAGTCTCAATGGAGTCTCAGTATGTTCGAACATCTCCCAACTCTAGACCACACATATGGTGCAGTGTACCCCTACTAAAAAGGCCCGAATTTGGACTCTGCATAATGAAGGTGTCAGTGTGTCTGACATTTGCAAGAAAGTCCCCGTCCACCGGTCCACCATCTATTGCACCATCCAAAAACTATCCCACAATCCTGACTTCTATGCAAACAAGCCCAAGACAGGTCGCCCTCGCGTTCTACAAGACTGCAATC